ATGCTAGCATGTTGCATACAGCTAGCCAGCTAGGTTAGCTTTAGCTAACGTTATCATACAGCTAGCCAGCTAGGTTAGCTTTAGCTAACGTTAGCTGCTACGTCCTGAGTGAACAGGGAGAACTGAACTAGCGCTTATTTACTAGCTTGTATCTCATTTTATCTGTATTTTCAGATTAAATCTTTCAGGAGGCCTTTTTTTATAGGCTGTGCTTGATGGCTCAAGTCGGCCAATGAGGAGCCAGCTTCCCAAACCCTGACAGAGCTATCTACAGCTCTGGCTCTGACTCTATGACTGGGGAGGATTCATTACGTTTACATTTGAGTAACCAGTAACGATTAAGCCCCTGAAAGTAAAAGTAAAAGTATCAAATTAATCAAAAATATGTAGTGGATACATACTCCAATAAAGTACAGATACTGCATTTTGGTAGTTAAGTACAGTACTTAAATGAGGAGTAAAAGTAAAAGGAGGGTAAAAAACATATACTCTGATAAAGTACAGATACTGCATTTTGGTAGTTAAGTAAAGTACTTAAATGTGGAGTAAAAGTAAACGGAGGGTAAAAAATTTATACTCTGATAAAGTACAGATACTGCATTTTGGTAGTTAAGTACAGTACTTAATTGTGGAGTAAAAGTAAAAGTAGGGAAACAAATATACTCTGATAAAGTACAGATACTGCATTTTGGTAGTTAGGTACAGTACTTAAATGTGGAGTAAAAGTAAAAGGAGGGTAAAAAATATATACTCTGACAAAGTACAGATACTGCATTTTGGTAGTTAAGTAAAGTACTTAAATGTGGAGTAAAAGTAAAAGGAGGGTAAAAAATATATACTCTGATAAAGTACAGATACTGCATTTTGGTAGTTAAGTAAAGTACTTAATTGTGGAGTAAAAGTAAAAGTAGGGAAACAAATATATACTCTGATAAAGTACAGATATTGCATTTTGGTAGTTAAGTAAAGTACTTAAATGTGGAGTAAAAGTAAAAGGAGGGTAAAAAATATATACTCTGATAAAGTACAGATACTGCATTTTGG